CCTGCCATCAATTTGACGATATTTTAAAGCTGAACTCGAAATATAAGAACATGAACTATAAAAAACTGGTGCAAGGTGCATGAAAACGACTTCATACTGAACGAACGTTTCTTTCACTTCCATACGCATAACTAGTATTTCCACATTTTTTATAATTTTTAAAATGCTTTCAAAAAATATGCGAAAACGGTTGATCTAATGAACAGTGATGACACCCTTTGTCAAATACCACATCAAACGTCTAGGAGTCTTCGCAAACGATAACGACATCTTGTATGTGGTATCAACCAAACAACTATACAATTGACAATAACCTGTTATGTCAGTCAATGTGCGTCAGATGGCAAGTCCGGCAAAAAAGCCTTATACGGCGTACCTACAGGTTGGATGTACCCTAGGTCGATCCGCGGGAGTAAACGAAGTACATTAGAAGCTGCTGCAGCTTCCGCCCGGTGTTTCGTAATCGAAAGTGCAATCACCTGCATGAGGGTGATAATCTCGGTCCCCTTTCGTATCGGTTCTAACTATTAGCAGATGCGACAGAGGTTCAGCCGGTTCGTGAATGCCTGATCTTGTTACCTCCATGTACGTTTCAATATGAGGAAAGGCAATTGTGCTACTGACTTCGGCATTACTCACGAAATCCTTTTACTTGATGCCTAACAGCTGCCAGATGACCTACTCACCAGCATCGAAATCATTTTGTATGCGTAGTGTACAGCAGCACAGTGATAGTGAGAACGCATTTGCTTTGACATGGCAAGGATCGCAAGAGCATGGCAGTTAACCTTGCCGCACGTACTGAAGCTGATACGATGGCGAAGAAAAGTGATAAGATCAACAATTAGGAACAATGCTAGTCAGTGGCAGTGAACTAATACAGTCTTAACGTTAATAGCTGCAGAAATGGTATCTGAGAGGCTTCGAATAGCAAGAGACATAACAATACTAACAGAAGTAACTAAAAGTGGGTGATTACCACTTGAAACGCAGCGATATACTGCACTAAATGCACAGTTTGAGATGTAAGAAGAAACCGTCACAATCGTCTTTTCCATCCTGCGGAGCAAACACAAAACTGTTCATCAAAATGTATAGTTTTATGATTTGCAGATGACTTTTATTCCCTACAAAACCACATTCATCGTCAACAGGGGCAACGACTGAAATCAAAGATCGCAAAACATGAAGAAGTACGAGTGGGATTCTTAGAGGTGGACACCTGTCATGAGTATCGAAACGGTCGGCTAAGCTGCCCAGGTCTTCTCTACATTCATCACTCTTATAAATGGCAGATTACGCCACTGTACAAAATTTCTGTTTTGATGGACAATAAACGCTTTTGACTGACAAAATATAATTCCATGTTCTGGGTGAACTTTCGATACCGCTGCTGAATATATCACATTAAAAACAATGAATATCGGACTGAAAAAGCGAAAATGCATAATAAAAAGAAAAATAATTTTTCACTTCATACCGGCAGCTCTATTACACTACCTTTCTTTTAAATTCATAGGGTGACCATTTCAGCAGGTCATGTGCCCTGCTCAAATGGTCCCCCTAAGCATGTAAACGCAAGGGGGCGGTGATACAGAGCTGCTGGTATAAAATGAGAAATACTTAACACCATGCATTTTC